GGGAAGGGGGAACTATCGCGAATTTTTCGCGGGGATGGTTTTCTTCTTCCAGGACGCGTCGCGCCTCGCTGCGGCTCTGGCTGTGGCTGCGGCGCGGCTGGGAGGGGGAAATTATCGCGAATTTTTCGCGGTGGTTTTCCTCTTCCAGGCGCGGCCGCGGCCGCGGCTGCGGCTGCGGCCGGCTGCGGCCGCGGCTGGGAGTTGGAAACTATCGCGATTTTTTCGCGGTGGTTTTCTTCTTCCAGCCGCGGCCGCGGCCGCGGCTTGGAGGGGGAAACTATCGCGAATTTTTCGCGGTGGTTTTCCTCTTTCAGCCGCGGCCGCGGCCGCGGCTGCGGCTGCCGCCGCGGCCGCGGCTGCGTTTCTGGCTGTGGCTGCGGCCGCGGCCGGGAGGGGGAAGCTATCTTGAATTCTTTCGCGGTGGTTTCTTCTTCCAGCCGCGGCCGCGGCTGCGGCTGCGGCTGCGGCTGCGGCCGCGGCTGGGAGGGGGAAAATATCGCGAATTTTTCGCGGTGTTGTCTTCTTCCAGCCGCGGCCGCGGCCGCGTCTGCGGCTCTGGCTGTGGTTGTGGCCGCGGCTGGGAGGGGGAAATTATCGCGAATTTTTCGCGGTGGTTTTCCTCTTCCAGGCGCGGCCGCGGCTGCGGCTGCGCCTGCGGCCGCGGCTGGGAGGGGGAAACTATCGCGAATTTTTCGCGGTGGTTTTCTTCTTCCAGCCGCGAGCCGCGGCCGCGGCCGCGGCCGCGGCTGCGGCTGCGGCCGCGGCTGGGAGGGGGAAATATCGCGAATTTTTCGCGGTGGTTTTCCTCTTCCAGCCGCGGCCGCGGCCGCGGCTGCGGCTGCGGCTGCGGCCGCGCGGTGGTTTTCCTCTTCCAGGGCGCGGCCGCGGCCGCGGCTGCGGCTCTGGCCGCGGCTGGGAGGGGGAAACTATTGCGATTTTTTCGCGGTGGTTTTCCTCTTCCAGCCGCGGCCGCGGCCGCGGCTGCGGCTGCGGCTGCGGCTGCGGCTGTGGCTGGGAGGGGGAAACTATCGCGAATTTTTCGCAGTGGTTTTCTTCTTCCAGCCGCAGCCGCGGCTGCGGCTGCGGCTGCGGCCGCGGCTGGGAGGGGGGGAACTGTCGCGAATTTTTCGCGGTGGTTTTCTTCTTCCAACCGCGGCCGCGGCCGCGGCTGCGGCTCCGGCTGTGGCTGCGGCCGCGGCTGGGAGGGGGAAACTATCGCGAATTCTTTCGCGGTGGTTTTTTTCTCCCAGCCGCGGCCGCGGCCGCGGCTGCGGCTCCGGCCGCGGCCGCGGTTGGGGGGCGGCGGGGGGGCGCCGGGAGAGAGCGGAAGGGCAAGGCAAGCAGAGGAGGGGCCGGCCAGCAGGGAGCAGAAAAGAGCAGCAGCGGCGAGGGAGTGGGAGGGGCGACGACGACGACGACGGAGGCGCGAGGGGCCGGCGGGGGGGCGCCGGGAGAGCGCAGCAGGGCAAGGCAAGCAGAGGGGGGCCGGCCAGCAGGGAGGGAGCAGAAAAGGGCAGCAGCGGCGAGGGAGCGGGAGGGACGACGACGACGACGACGACGACGACGACGACGACGACGACGACGACGACGACGACGACGACGACGACGACGACGACGACGACGACGACGACGACGACGACGACGACGACGACGACGACGACGACGACGACGACGACGACGACGACGACGACGACGACGACGACGACGACGACGACGACGACGACGACGACGACGACGACGACGACGACGACGACGACGACGACGACGACGACGCGACGACCGCCGCGCAGCCTCCACAGGCACTCCTCCTTCCTCTTCCTTTAGGCTCATGGAGCCTTGAGCTTCTGGCGCGGCCCGGGGGTCTGCAGTTCTTCCGCAGGGAGCGGCGGCGGGCTCTGGGGCCTACCTTCGGGGCTAACCCGAGGGAGATCTGCTGTCTCACAGGAGATGGCGGGGCACCTGGTGAAAGCCCAGGACCTGCTGCTGCCTCCGGGTGGCGGTGGGGGAGCTGGTGCAAGCCCAGCAGAGTCGTGCGTCCCTGCGCGGACTGCGGCGCGTCCGGTGGAAACCCGCGACGACCTCCTGTTGCTTCCTCCGGGAGGCGGCGGGGGAGCTGGTGAAAGTCCAGCAGAGCTGTGGCTCCCTCCGGGGACTGCGGCGTGCCCGGTGAGAGCCCGGGAACCTCTCTCTTCAAGACCTGGGCTCTCCTGCCCGGGCCGCCCTTCGGGGTGTGCCTCAGAGCAATCTGAGGAAACGCTGGAGCCTGCAGAAGCTTTCGAGCACGCTGCGGGGGAAGGCTCGGCCGCGTACGCGGTTGTGCTCTCGAGTGATCGAGAGAAATGCTAGGTTGATGCCGGCTCTCCCTCCGCGGGTGCGATGCGCGGACGCCCCCGGGCTAACCGCGCTGGGGTTCATCGACACTTCGCGGCAGTCGCTCGGGAGTCTCCACTCTCCGAGAGAGATAGTAGTGAAGGGAACCTCGATCCTACCGAGGCTAAACAAAGGACCTATGCAGCGGGCGCTCGGGAGTCTCCTCTCCCTTGGCAGCTAGCTGTTGTGGAAGCCCCAGCTCCGGCTGGGCGCCTGGTCGCTCCACGCTGTGCGGCCGGGGAAAGTCCCGCGAAAGCGGGCCCTGGTTCCCCTCCAGGTGGGCTTCGTGCCAAGGGGGCCTGGTGGTTCATCGCATCGGGTTACACTAAAGGAACAGAAGGTTTGGAGAGAAAGTCTGTATGTGCGGAAGCGTGGTGTGGCGGTGGCGCGGCGGGCGCGGTGGGAGGAGGATTTCCGTCGTCGCTCGAAGTGGCGGTGGCCGTGGAGGAGGATTTCCATCGTCGCTCGAAGTGTCCCCGTGTGCGCTTCGAGTGTAGTATGTTGCAGACGCCGGTCGTGTCCGAGAGCGGCGGGGCGCAGTGGCGGGCGGTGCGGTGCTGCAATGGGCCGGGCGGGGGCGATGCGGGCGATTTCCAGGCTCTGTGGCAGCGCGAGTCGCGGGTCGCGGCCGGCTTCGCAGCGAACGTGGTCCTGGATGACGACGTGGTCGTGTTGCCTGTGGAGCGGCCTGCCGGGTGGGCGGAGCCCGCGCACATGGCGGGGGCGTGGTGGCGGGGCCTGGGCCCGCGGGAACGCAGAGCAGAGGAGGGGGATAATCCCGGGCGCGTCTGGGTGGGCCAGCTGCAGGGGGGCGCCGGCGTGGCGGGGCTACTGCCCGAGGGCGGCGCGGGCGAGCGCACTGCGAAGGAGGGGCTCGACGCGCTGCAGCAGGCCGGTCAGGGAGCTCGGGGGGCGGGTCGCGCGGGTCGTGGCCGGGGGCGCCGAGCGAAGAAGCGCAGTCGGTAATTGCGGGAATGATTTGCGGTCCGTTATTCGGACCAGATGGGCGCCTGGAAGGTCGTCGGAAGTGCCGGCCCGGGAGTCGCGGAGTCCTTTGTGTTTGGATCAGCGCCAGAATCGGAGCATTGGGAGATTCGTCCGGAGGCGCGTTTGCGCGAGCGCTGCGGAGGGCGTGTAGACCAACGAGCGCGTGTTGCTGCAGGGGACGTTCACCAGAAGTGCATGCTGCTGGCGCAGAAGACGGTGCCGCTGCGCGTGGCGAAGTCTGACGCGCAGCTGCGCGATGCCTCCGTGCGGGCCGTGCAGGCGGCGCAGGCGATCCTGACGCGCATGGTGAAGTTCACGTGCCACGAGTGCCAGGAGCGGTTCCCGGCGTTCCACTCTGCCTTCGAGCCGCCGGGCCAGCTCGCGGATGAGATGCTACTGCTGCGTCGCGGCGGGGACGGGCTGGCCCCGTGCAGCACGGAGGTGGCCGAGTGGGGCGAGGTGCCGCCGCGGTGGCCATGCGTTCCCTTTTCATTGTTGCGCGCGTTTCACATGCTTGCAGCCGCGGCCCCCGCCTGCGACGCTCTAGCTTGCGACTGCTGCAGGTCCGATGTCCGATTGCCGATGTCCGATCGCCGTTGGTGGGTCCGTGGTCAAGCAAAGGCTTGATCTGGCGTAGTCCTGGTTCACTCCTTTGAGCGCGGTGTAATCGGGCTGTGTATGTTTTCGCCCTCGCGGTAATTTGGACCACTCTGCTCCATCCGTTCCAGTAAGTCAGGACATGTCTGGTCGCTCTCTTGTGACCTCGGCCAGGAGTGCTGGGCGCTTGGTGTGCCCCCTGGTCAGCCGCGGTTGCGGTGTGCACTGCGGCCTTCTGCGTAGTTATCGGTGTGAGGTTCGTTCGATGCGCAGACATCGTACATTTTGTTTTTTTCCGCAGCTCGGCTCCCCAGACCTCTTCGGGGACCAGGGTTTTCATCCTGAGCCGCCTTTTGATAGTCCGGGTCCTAGGTGGAGCGGATAATCAGCAAACGCTCCTCCAGCGCTGCTTTGTCCCCGAGGCGACGGGGTCTGGGGGTGCTCAGCGGTCGCCGACGCCGCCGGGCTCCGTGGCGAAGAGGCCGCCGTGACGCAATTCAGGGGCGGAAGTCGGGGTGTGCTGCATGGGCAGGGGTAGACATCGTGGCCGGGGCCATGACGGCTCCCTGGCTTGCAGGGCCCTCCCAGTTCTCATTCCAATGTGTGCTCCTCGGCCCCCCCATTGGGCTGCGGCACGCGCCTCGGGCCGTGACTTCTCTCTGAGACGCCCCCCTTTCGGACGCCCCCGAGAAAGTGGCCCGAAGTCCGCCTGTCGTGGTGTCGCCCAGGGCGAGAAAAGGCCAGTGCCCGGCTGCCTCCGCCGTCGCCGCCGTCGTGGTGATCGCCGTTGTCGTCGCTGCCGCCGCCATCGTCGTCGCCGTCGTCGTCGCCGTCGTCCTCGCCGCCGCCGCCGCCGTCGTCGTCATCGTCGTCGTCGTCGTCGTCGTCGCCGTCGTCGTCGTCGTCGTCGTCGTCGTCGCCGCCGTCGTCGTCGTCGTCGCCGCCGTCGTCGTCGCCGCCGCCGTCGCCGTCGCGGCCGCCGCCGTCGTCGCCGCCGCCGTCGTCGTCGCCGCCAACATCGTCGTCGTCGTCGTCGCCGTCGCCGCCGCGCAGAGTAACGCCCACCGCTGCAACATTCATCGCGGCGTTCCCGCTGTGGCTCTGGAGCGGGTCGCGGCGGGAGGCCGCACCCGGCCCGCGAGCTGGCATGTTCGGCCAGGCGCGCCGCGGCCTCGGGGTGGATGTGGTTTTGGGGTGAGGGCGAAGAGGAGGCATGACCGATGACGGATGGGGGGGGCGACGAGGCCGGGGAGGAGGAGGAGGAGGAAGGAGGAGGAAGAGGAGGAGGACGAGGAGGAGGAGGAGGAACTGGAGGAGGAGGAGGAGGAGGAGGAGGAGGGGCATGGAATACTTGGATGGAGTAGTTGGATGGAGACGGAGGAGGAGGACGCGGATGAATAGTAATAATCATAATCATAATAGTACTACTACAATACGAAAACATTCATAATCATACGAATAAAAAGAATAATAATAATGACAATAATGCTAATACTACTAGTACTCATAAGCATAATGAAACTCATGATACAACTAATCATGCTAATGTTAATGATATTATTAAGACCATAAGTCTTTACCTTCAGAAAAATAGTAGTAGTAATAACATCACTGCACATAACACCACCAACAATTGTAATACCAACATATGTACGCATAATCATACTAATATTCATAACAATACTAATACTATTACTACTACGGCTACTACTACTACTATTACTACTAGTACTACTATTACTACTACTACTACTACTACTACTACTACTACCACTACTACTACTACTACTACTACTACTACGTCTACGTCTACTACTACTATTACTACTATTACTACTATTACTACTATTACTACTATTATTATTACTTCTACTACTACTACTATTACTAGTAGTAGTTGTAGTAGTAGTAGTAGTAGTAGTAGTAGTAGTAGTAGTAGTAGTAGTAGTAGTAGTAGTAGTAGTAGTAGTAGTAGTAGTAGTAGTAGTAGTAGTAGTAGTAGTAGTAGTAGTAGTAGTAGTAGTAGTAGTAGTAGTAGTAGTAGTAGTAGTAATAGTGCTATTAGTATTAATATAGGTGACATTAATGATAATGCTACTACGCATACTAATAACAATACTACTGATAACAGTACTGCTATGTTTAATATCACGAATAAGAAGAGGACGAAACAGAAAAAGAGGAGGAGGAGGCGCGGAAGGAGGAGTAGGAGTAGGAGGAGGAGGAGTATGAGGAGGAGGAGGAAAAAGGAGGAGGAGTCGGAGGAAGAGAAGTGACGAACGCTGGAACGAGTCTGAATGAGCAATATGGAACTAGAGACAAGAAGAGGGACCGCGTTGTCGAGGAGGCGGAGGAGGAGGAGGAAAAAGATAGAGCGCTGTCTTCCTCTCCTCGCTTCCTTCCTCCTTCCTTCCCTCTCTTACTCCCTCCTTCCCAACCGATGGATCAGATCTAACATCTTTTCCAGTGCGGGCTGCGTGGCAGCTTGGGCCACGCGAGGTCAATTCCTCCCCGCTTCCTTTCACCCTCCTTCGCCCTTCCCCTCCCTCCTCGTCGCCCTCGCCGTTCTTCTCCCCCCCATCCCTGACTTCAGCCGATCTGTTTTTTTCAATCCGCGGCTCCAGAGGTCTTGACCGCTTCCCCCGGGGTAGCATTGCGCCCTCGATCTGTTTATGATGGCCCCGGGCCTGATAGTGGCCCCTTGAGGCCAAACTTGAGGAAGAACGCCAGGATTGAAATTATCATATCGTCGGAGATCTTGGTTGTCCTCCTCCCCTGCACCGCTCGTGCCGTCTGTGCCTCAAGAGGCCGAGGTCACAGGAGGAATCGGCGCTGGCACGTCCGCGGTCGAAAGCCAGCCCAATCTGGCATAATCCGGTTCGATCCCGCTTCATGCAGCTGAATCTTGGGCCTTGCAGTAGGGGCCCGACCACAAGAAACCTTCCACAAGAAACCCAACCCTGAGACCCCAGGACGTCTATTCATTTTTGATGTGGGAACGTCACGCTTTCCATAGCAAAACCATCGAAGCCCAAGAAACCCAGGGCACCCTGGAGGCGAGCAGGGTGTTTCTTGGTATGAGTCTCCACTGTATCTGGTCCGTTCTGGCATGATGGCCCCTTAGTCGCGCTTGCCAGCCCTCAGTCCTTCTCGTGAAGACCTCCCAGGAGCTGCTTTCCAACGTGCCACCGCCGCCCGGCCCCCCAGTCACTGTCCGGGCTGTTCGGCGGCCTTTCCCTTGTCCGACGCGGCATCGGGCGCGACGGACGCGGATTGATGGACGCGGATCGACGCTGATTCGATGCGAGTTCAACGTGGACTCGATGTGGGCCCTGAGGGTTTCTCGACACGAATAGCGTCTTGATGGCAAGGAACCCTGACGTGCGAGGTCCTTCCTGCCTCCGTATGGACTCCCTGGAAGTGCCGACCCTTTCCGCAGGGCTGGTTTTGTATCCCGAGTCGTTTTTTGAGGGCCCCAGGGCCCAGCGAGGGCCCCCAGAGGCCGAAAACAGGAAATACACTTCCTGTCTGATAGGGGTCTGATAGTACCACCCCGCCCAAAAATGAGCGGATTCGCTTTCGGGGGCTTTTCCGCCGATCTATCGGCGATGTATCGCCGATTGCAGGTCGATGCATTCCCCCTATGCCGTTCCCCCCTTTGCGATGCGCTGAGCAGACTCTAGGTGCGAGCCTGAATCGTTCGTGTGCAGCAGCCAGTAGAAACACTGGAAGGCAGACTCAGCGGAGCAGGAGGTGCGAGGGGGCACGGAAGAGTGGAGACGCCCAAGAGGGCTCAGGAGTATGAGATCTGCAGGCGTGAGCAAGGTATTCCCCTCCCACCGTTCCTCAACAACAAGTCCACATACCCACGATCAGCCCCCCCCCTATCGAATGGCCTGCGGGGTATCCCGCCACCGTGCCTGGCTTTGGGCCCCTCTTGTGGCCGAGAGTCAAGCCACGCGGCAAGATGCGGGAACCTCAGGAGGGCACGCACACGGACCCTTGACGTCATGATTTTTTCACTACCTCGACCCCCAGAGGTCTGGACCCCTTCCCCGGGACAGGTTTTACACCACCAGTAGTTTTTTGTGTCGGTCCCGAGGGCGGGCAAGGGCCTCCGGAGGCCGAGAACAGCCAACAGAAACCTCCCGTCCTGACTTCTCCACTGCCCGAGGGGGCCTGGGCAACACGCCCCCGGAGATGCCGGACACCTGGGCCCAGACCCGGGAGAGACTCCCTCGAGGACTGAGGCCCGAGGCTCGGGAGGACACGCCCCCTCCGTGCCTTGAGGCACGGTGGCGGCACCTGGGGCTGCCTTGCAGTCGGGCCTCTCCCTCTACAGGAGGAATACTCCAAGGAAAATATAACAAAGTCTGGGAACGATGCTTAAATTCTTTTGGACTTTTTTTGACTATCTTCTATTCTTCGTCCAGGCCGTTTCTTTGACGCTCTCGCGAGGCCTGGCGAGGGCCCCATGGAGGCCGAAGGCAGCCAAGAGTTGCCCGCCCCAACTTTTCCGTAGCGTCGGATCTCTGCGATCCCAGGGGCCCCCCACGTCGCGATTGTTTCACGACGTGACCCCCAGTAGCCTGGACCCCTCCATGGGGCCCGTCTTCCATTCCGAGCCGTTGCTTGACGGCCCCGAGGCCCGAAGGGCCGAAAACAGAGCAAAACCTTCCGCCGTGTTCTTCTGTGCCTCGAGGGGGTCTGGCATCGCTGCCCCCCGTGACAGCAGCTTGCCGCCGCCGCCCGGCCCCGCAGCTCCTGTCCGGGCTCTTCGGCGGTGAGCCCGGCGGCGATGCCTCGGCGCCCCCTCCCGCGGGGGAGGACCAGACCCCCCCGGCGAGCAGCGGCCCCGCAGGCGGGGGGGCGCATGTCGCTGCTGTCTCCTCCACCTCCTCCTCCTCCTCCTCCTCCTCTGCGCCCTCCCTCCTCCCTCCTCCTCCTCCTCCTCCGCCGCCGCTTCCTCCTCCTCCTCCTCCTCCTCCTCCTCCATTCCTTCCTTATAGATCTTTCTTCCCTGTCGCACCCCGAGGCCAGTGGAGCAGGCGGTCTGGGCGCTTCGTCCGAGACGTCCTGACCCACGCGTGGTCCTGAAGCCCAGAGATTGACAACAGTTTCACGGATTGAGGGCGGTTGGTTTTCAAAGTGTGGCTCTCGCCCCAGCGCCGCGCGTATTCGTTTTCAGCATCTGCAAGCGTTGCGCAGATTGAGGGTGGCTGGTTTTCAAACAATTGTGTTTTGGAACGATTCAGGATAGTCAAGGCGTAGCCGTTACGTTGGTTCGCGGTGCTGAAGTCCCAGGAATGGTGTTCTGGCACGATTCAGGATCGTCAAGACGCACCAGTCAGGTTCATTCGTGGCGTTGGAGTCCCGACGTCGTTTTTTCGGCACGTTGCAGTATTTTGAAACGGTTGTCTCCTAACGGGGCACCTCCTCAGTGGAAATGAATCCTTGTAGGGGCCTATGACGAGGGAGCTTGGAGGAAGGGCTTATTCCAACATCGTCGATGCGTCTTTGGCTTACACTGGTCCTCCTCCTCCCTTTTCCTCTTCCTCCTCCAGTTTCTCTTCCTCTTCATAGGGGGAAACACAGCAGGCCGCCGCCTCGGAGTCCTGTTGCTGCTGCTGCCGCCGCTGCTGCCGCTGCTGCTCTTCGCGTGGGCGGCCATGACTGGGGTTCGATACCAGGTCACAGGCGCCCTGTGCACCCTCGCATTTTGTTTTCGACCGACCGCATGGGCGCCGATCAGCGTCGCGGAATCGATGGGACAGCGCCGATGTAGCGTCGAGTGGCGTCGATGTGGCGTCGATCTAGCATCGATCAGCGGCGACTCGAAAGAGCCGACAAGATGGTGCGGGAGGCTCCTGCGAGTTGCCGCAACAGGGGGGTGGGTCCTCATGGCCTGGGTCTTGACCTCCCCCCAGCTTTCGTGGCCCCTCTCCTCCTCCTCCTCCTCCTCCTCCTCCGCCCTCCTCCTCCTCCTCCTCCTCCTCCTCCTCCTTTCCACGACTCAGTACGCTCCCCGGTATCTCCCTGGTCTGGGCATGTGTCTCGGGCCACGATCTGGGAACCCGCCTCCTGAGCGACGCCCCCCCCCCTGGACGCCCCCGATGCTCTTCGAGGGAAGAGTCGAAGATGAAACAAACTGCGTAGACATAAACATTTCGGAGCCTCTCACGGAGTTTTTGGATCGCCGCTGGGCCCCCCCCGGTGGCGCCTCCGTCGCCGCCCCTGCTGCTGCTGCTGTTGCTGCCCCTCTTCTTGGTGGCATCCAGACATGCTGATACTATTTGGCGATGAGCGCGCCGAGAAATCTTGTAGTACAAGCTCCGTGGCGGGCGCTTTCAGGCCATACCGCTCGGGAAACGATGTACTACAAAATGTTTGTGCTACATGTTCGGCTTGGGCGGGCGCCTCCAAAAGGGACACATAGCACTAGTATGTCCTCCAGCGTCCCATCCTCAAGGGAAGAATCGGCGAAAAGCCTGCATGGGCCTAAACTTTTCGGAGCTCCGCGTGTACTTACCTGATCGCCGCTGGGCCCCCCCTGGCGCCGCCCCTGGCGCGCCCCAAGCGCGCGGCGGGAGGGGCGGTCCAGCGTCGATCCAGACAGAAGCGGCCCGTCCGCACGCTGCATGTCCGAGCGGCTCCTTGTGGCCCCGTGCAGCAGCACGAGGTGCCCGTCCCGCTCCTCCTCCTCCTCCTCCTCCTCCTCCTCCTCCTCCTCGTCCTCCTCCTCCTCCTTTTCCTCCTCCTCCTCCTCCCCCTCCTTCTCCGCCCTCCTCCTCCTCCGCGGCCGCTCTCCGCCTCCTCCGCCCCGCCTGCAGCCGGCTCGCCCGTCGGCCCGCCATCCTGGCCCACCTGAGCGCGCCGGCGGCCCGCCCAGCAGCGCGCCGCGATCACGCCCGCAGCCGAAGCAGCGCGACGGCCACCCAGCAGGCCGAGCGAGAGGGGTGGATAGGGAAAGGCGGGGTGCGGATGCGGGAGAGGGGGGGATAGATCTTTGTGGTATGAGCTGGATTGAGATATTAGCTCTGGTGGGGTTCGTCTTGTTGTTTCGGTTTCTTGCCCCTCGGCAGCCACGGTCGAGCCGTAACATTGTTTCTGGGGTTGGCTCCCGTGGTTGTACATATGTATAGGCCGAGTGGGTGGGTGGGGGGTCGGGGCAACTCTACACACCCCGCCGCGGAGGGGGTCAATGCACTTGTCTCCACACTACCATCCTGCTGCCCTTGCCTTCTCTCCTTTGCAGTGCCGTGTGCCTTTTCCGACTGCAGCTGTCTGGCTTAGAAGATCAAAAAAGGAGCGTGCCCGCTTTCGCGCGCGTCGGCCGCCGGGCCGGCCTCCTTATTTCAGGGATACTTTTATAACCAGTTTAATGGAGCACCCTTTCTTTGCCATGGCTTCGGCGGAGCCCCCGTGATCATGATACAGTATTGGAGCATAGTGCGAGGGTTATCAATGTCCAGTCAAAAAGCTGGCTATCAGCCGAAACGACGGCTCAGCCGTTGGCTTCGCTGAACATGGGATCGCTGGAAGGAACGTTCGGGGAGGTAGAACAATGCCGCCCCGAGCGTATTATTAAGAAAGGCGCCTCTAGGGGGCGGCCTCTTTCTCTCAAATTTCCCAGAAGCCAAGCGTTGGAATCTGTGTTTGGTTTGACAGAGGGATATGCCCTATAGATAACCAGATGAAGAAAAGAGTTCGAACGTCAGGCGCAGGGCATGGCCCAGCCATTTTTTCCATCAGAAGGCCATCTGACATCGTATCAGTGCACTCGAGCCTTAGAGTATCAGTCAACTCGACCCATGGCGGGGAGATATCACCGGGACATGTCCCCATCGGCACGGCGGGTGGAGAACGCCGAGGCGAGGGGCAAGTAACGCAGCTTGTGATGACTGGACAGGGCGAATACGAGAGCGATGGGCAGTCAGAGGAAGAGAGCTCGCATTCGATGGAAAAGAGTAAAGAATATGCCCAAGTTCATACGTCGCCTGGCCCAGTATATCATCCCCATCCTCTCCAGAACGCTTCTGGCGGGCTCGCCTCAGGCGTAGACCTGTCGGGTGCAGAGACAACTGATTTTGCGCTGGCTGATGATCTTCGGAGCGCTATACTTGATTTTGATGATGAGCTTCAGGAAGAAGCCCCGTTAGCGGGGGAGTTGGCCATGGGTGGGAGATTCCTTCGGCTCAGCCGATAGAAGACTCGCCCGACGCCGCGTGTCCAGCTTGGCCCGCGAGAGAACCGACCGGTGCGACTCCGTTCCCGAAGACAAAGAGAACCGAGAGCGATATTGATGATCGTAGTTCTCCACCGTTATCGCAGGGTTTTCATCGTCCAAGTTTCACGTCACCAAGCGCTGGTCATAATGGTGCACCAGAGCTTGGTGAGCTCATTTTGCAAGACGAAAGGGATGAGCAAACGCGGAGACAACGCGACGCTCCTCGGAACAAGGGGTCAAGAGCGAGGGATCGACATGCACCGCCATCCCGCAGGGGTCGTGAAAAGGCTCCATGGGCCGGACGCTCCAGCTCCAGGGGATTCGATGCCTTCGAGTCACCTCGTACATTGTCGAATAGGACCATCCGAAGTTTTTCCATCCGGGGCAGCTGCTGGAAAACGGGCCCCGGATGCCCGCCTCCGGCGGAGAATCGCTGCCCGCGGAAAGCTTGCAAACCGGGGGTTCGCGTCGCCGACCTGTGCGCGCGCAATGTTCGAAGGTGTGCCCGAAATGCAGTTTAGCGTGGCTCTGTGACGAATGTATTGCGCTGGGGGGACATAATTGCCGTCATATCGCCATTCAGGAGTGGGGAGGAAAACAGATGCATGAAAGCGGGCAGCTGAGAACAGCAGGTGCACTGATGCAACGCATTCTTCTTCAGGCACATGCGGGTGAGACGGCCGCCGAAGGGGCCGACCGAAAGCTCGCTGAGTCCGAGGCAGAGAAGAGGGCAGTGGCAGATATAGCTGAAAAGGAAAATGCTGCCATTGCAGAAGGCGCGCAGATGCGAATGCTGCAAGCGGAGGGGGAAATGGCAGCGATTGCGGGCGCGGCTCAACGGCGTCTTGCCCGAGGAGAGGAAGAAATGCGAATCGTTCAGAGCGCGGCCAAACTAATGGTTTCATCGTCCCACGCTGCAGGCCGTTAATGAGCGAATTGAATTTCAAATGATAGCCGATGCAGCAAGGCGGGAAGGGGGGGTAGAGGCCCGAAAGCAGGCAGCGCGAGAAAACCAGGCTCCGTAATCAACGCGACGCTGCCAGGCTCGAGGCCGAAAAGATAAGCTAGAAGCGGCGCGAACGCTCCGGGGGCAAGGCCAGAGGGCCCAAGCCCTAAGGCTTGGCGATCACAGATGGATGGCAGGGGTTTGGAACCGAGCGAAGAGGTGCGCGGATCAACGGATCGAGAGCGATGCCCTCGTCAGAGGAGCCGCGGGCGAAGAAAATAGAAGGCGTAGATCCGACCTCGAGCGTCGCGAGACTGCGAGAGAGACCCGAGAGAAGACCCAGACAGCCGGGCAGCCTCGCGCGGTCGTTGTGCCAGAGGACAGGCTTGCACCTGCGGCTCTGCCGGGAGGTGCTGGATCGCGGGAGAGGGCTTTTTTCAACGCCGGCTCCGCCGACGTATGTTGAGCCTCCTCCGTGTCCGACCGTTGCTCGCCCAGTTCGTGTGCGGGCGGCCAAGCTGGCCCGAACTCGAATGGGTGCGCCAGACGAGCTGTGTCGCGTATGTCCAAAGCTGTTCATGGGGATTTGCGTGGGGTGTGCGAAACCCACGTGCAGGGGCATCTGGGCGGAGGTGCCAAGAGGTGCACGGAATGCGCCAGGAGCAGAGAGTCCAGGGAACAAGACGTT